CCTGTATCAAAATAACAGGACCAAAGACAAGCATTATATTATGACAACAATGGCTGAATGATGCTATAAACCAGGGGTCTTCAACCTTGGCCCTTTTATGACTTGTGGACTTCAATCCCCAGAATTCCTCAGCCAGGCATGCTGGCTGAGGAATTCTGGGAGTTGAAGTCCACAAGTCATAAAAGGGCCAAGTTTGAAGACCTCTTCTATAAACCAATAATGAGGAAATGGCCTTAGAAAGTTCACCAATAACTCTTCTTTCATTTGTGATTCTTGTTTCAATCATTCCTGAAGAATCACTTCTAAATATTTTGTGCTATATATGCACAACAGCAATTCAAAATAGTTCTTTATTGTACAATACAGTATGTCAAGACAGAGTCAGATGCCAATGAGATGGAAGGAGAAAATTAAGATAATCATCACTCAACAGATATATTTATAAATTTAGGGCTGAGTGGTCCTCTTGATGGTCATTATGAGCCAATATGACTTGGGCACATTACTTTGATCAAGTCGAATTTTTCAGGGGATTTCTGAACTACTTTGGAAATGCTATATATAAAGTATTTGAAGCTGACCCTTCAAAGTATCATTTGGAGCTTGAAACAAAAATAACACAAAAGGAAGAAGTATGTTTTTAGATAAAACAGACAGCAACCATGTATAAAGTGCAATATAACCCTACTCCCTCAGAATTTGATTCATTATTGATTATATATACAGAAGCACTACAATGACTGAAAAAGTTTGTTTAACTTTTAAGCATAACATTATTTGATATACCCTGTGAGAATCTGACCATTTCTTCAGTACTTTTATTCTTTTTTCCAATTCAACAAAATTTTAATTAAAACATGTAATGATTAAAGAATTAAAAATGGCTTGTATGTTTTCCAGAAACTGTGCTTCTTTATTATTTATAGCTCTACTTATTACATTGGTGTAAGCCTGCTTTGTGCTATACACATTTTTATTCCATTTCCATACAAACATGCCAAGATGTCTTTTATATAATTCTCCTTTACCTTTCTATGTTTGTCCATTAGTAAATAGCATCTATCCAAGGATACTAATGAAACCAAACAAATAGATATGCATCTGTAGCAATAACGGAGGGCCACTGAAATGTCTTTTTCCTGACATATGACCTTAGTTTACCACAATTAATATAAAAAGCTCCAAGGTTCTTTCAATTTTTCTAAACTCAAACCATTCTGCACATGTTGTTTAACATTTTATCTTGAACTCGGGGAACTATATACTTTGAATGACAAGGTATACTAGTTTGGAATGAATTCTGGGGTCATATGGGGTGGAACTGAAACTGGTTGCAAGGCTTCAAGGAAATGTCTTCTGCTGTAACTCATATCTTCATTTGTCCCGTACCTACACTAAGCTATTATGTTAGTGGTAAAACAGAAAATTTCCAGAGTAGTCAAACAACATCCGTTTTCTTTTTTAAGTTCTTTATAAGCATCAATTTAGTGGACCAGAACAGAGCCCCCTTTATCTTTCTATGTTTGTCCATAACGTTTTCAAGCTATTTTGCAGTTTTCAGTTCAGAATAATTTTCAATAGGCTTTTTTTAGTTGCTGCACCAATTGTGAGTAACCATATTCTTTAGCCATTAGCAATCTTTCCAATGAAATGGCAACAAGCTGTAAGAATTGGTATTCAGACCGATGAGAAATCAATCAACAGATGCAGTCTCCTTCTTATTCACAAGAAACAAACCATTTTAAATAGAAAGCATGCAAGAAAAATAGCATAAATGTTGTGCAATAATTTATCTATACGGTATACAGATTTCTCAGCTGAAATTAGAGTGCTTGCCAGCATTGGTGCAAACAATTGCTGCAACCTTCCTTTTAAATAAGAGCTCTGAGCGAATGGATCATGGAATTAACTGTGTCCAGTCCAGGTGATCACAGGAGAAACCTGACATAAACAAAGCAAAACACAGTATTTTCAAACTAACTATGTTCAAATCAAGGTATATCAGGCTGGGTTAAAATGACCATAATTGGCCAGATACTGTTGGCAGAAAGTCCTTTGGATCAGCTATATAAGACTGTACATCTGTTTAAGACTGTATCTCACTTAAGGTAAAATATTTAAAAAAGTAAGTGCATTTACCTCAGGCAAAAGACCAGGACATTACATCCCTTGACCATTTTCCTTCTCAGACTCACTTTTATTGGACAATTTCTAACATATCCCCTCCCCCCACAAGCCCTTTGCTTTGTTGGTCTTTCTGATGAATTTCCCCATGCTTCTGTGATTTCAGAACTTCTTGGCCATATTTATGTCATCATCATCATTTTAGCCATTATCTATCCACTGCAGGATGAAGGCCTCTTCCATATTTCCAACCAATACAGATCTGAGTTGTTGTTGTTTTTTTTTTTTGTTTTTTTTGCCAATTGGGCTTGCAATACTTGCTGATGTATTTATGTTATATTGGACTAAAAGCCCTTAAAAACTAGCATTTTTGCTAAGGCATCATTAAAATACAGAATAAAATAGTTAGGCCTTCATACACATCAATTTTTTCTGTAAAACTATTCTCCCATATCAGCTTTGTACACTGTGTCTTCCCCCCCCCCCTTGAATATAATTGCTCTTCCTACTTGTCTCCTTGTTGAACTGAAGCTCTTCCTCCTTGTAGCAGTTGGCCTCATGGTTGGTTTCTCCCTTTCCCTTGCTTCATATGTATTCTGGATTTCATGTCTGAAGTAAAACTAATTTACATGGAATCCATCCTTAAAATACTTTTTCCTGCAACAGTGACAATCTACCTCCGGCAAACTTCCCTTAAGAGACCCGATGAAGAACGCTCAAGACTGCAGAATAATGAAAAAGTGTTGGTTTTTTTTAAATGAATCTGATAACCAAAAGGGCTCAGTCAAAGTGGGAGATATGGCTACATCACTATATAATAATAGAATATTAGGCTTCATGGGCTTTTGGTCTGATACAGGAGGGCTCCTCTTACGTATTTAGTCTGTATTATTCTGCATAAAACCCTGCCCTTTGAGGCAGCTGCCCTAACATTTGTGATGAAAGTACTAGCTGTATTAGCTGTGCAAAGGTTTGAAGTTGTCTGAAGATGAGCAATTCTAGATCAACAACTGACCTTTCTCTTCTGCAACAGCTAGCAGTGTTCCTTAATGAGCTGCTGCTTTACTTCTGTGGATTGAAAAAGAACAAGCTATCCTTGGAAGGAGATGAAGAATGTCCTCAGGCTGAAAATCCAAAAAGTATTATAGCTTGTATCTTGTTCCCATCTAAATTATGCCTGGGGCAGAACACCATTAAATACAGATACAACTGTGAATGTACTTTCATCACAAATGTTAGGGCAGCTGCCTCAAAGGGCAGGGTTTTATGCAGAATAAAACAGACTAAAGACATTCACTTTTGTAAATGATTCATATAACCATGTTTTGAATCTTCAGTTGGAATACTGTTGATATAACTTTCTCTCAGACCTGCAAATCCTTACCTTTCTATAATCCCTATGTCTTTGGAAGGGGGTAGACATTCCTTTTACTCTGAAGCATCCTAGATCTTTCTTTCTTAATTAAATGCCATATAATGTTTTATATCTGTATTTGGGAAAGGAGTATACCAAGGTTGTATACTATCACTATATTTCTTTAACTTATGTACAAACTATATCAGGAAAAATGCTGGATTAGAAGAAATAGAAATTGGAATTATAATTGCTGGGAAGAAGAATAACAAATCTCAGATACGCTGAGTATATCCCTTTGATGGCTAGAAGTGAAGAAGAGTTAAGGACTCTTTTACTAAAGGTGAAAGAAGACCACACAAAATCTACTCTACTGATCAATATTAAAACAAAAACAAAATGAAGCCAGCAATGCCAGCCCAATGAAAACAGGTAAAGATGTTGTGTTTCAAAAGTGTCAAAGAATGATCGTATTTCAAAATCTATGTACTACTAAAACTCTCATGTGGGTTTAATATGTTATAAATTTCAACTGGGCAAAAACCAAGCATAGGGCTACATCTGTCAACAAAAGTATCTCCAATGGGCTAACTTACAGAATGCTAGGGCCCATTACCTGGAGGGAATGATATATGGGCAATTGTTTGCTGCTTCAGTGACACAGCACAGCTCCTGCTGTCAGTGATTGCAGAGGATCCTCATTTTCAATGTTCCCTGAAAGCTTCCTAAAAGTCAATGGAGAACCAGGAAGGAACTGATGCGATAGAGATGACACTCCTTGTCATCCTCCCACTAGCACAGTCTTTGCTTATGGGAAACTCATAAGGATAAGATCAATAGAAAAATGGTACACCCTCCACCAGTTCCTCTGAATTCGAAACATGTTGGACAGTTGCACATTCCCTTGTTCCCTCATCTGGTTCAAAATAGTAATCACTTTCTCTTTGGTTTCAGCTAATCAAGGTTTGGGAGAAATGTATGCTTCAATATTAAGAAAATACTTTTCTATAAGAAAGTAAAGGCTGTTTTGTAGAACTGAAGACTCAATCCATTATAGATATCTACAGTTTTATAATAGAAATAGAAATGCATTTACTATGCTGTTTTTCACTTGTTCATGTAGTCAAATGTTCATGTTCAATAATCTTTTAAAATTGCATTAAAAGTATATTATACTTGTAAATATCTAGTATAATATAGGTCCATCTACTCATATATATATAGAATAAATAATAATCATAAATAGTATCTTCATATTATTATGAAAAGTGGAGGATTATTGCCTGGCTGAAGCTATTCTACAAATTCTTTAGAATTAAATCTAAAGTTACTCTTTAAAGCTAAGTTACAGCATTGGGTCCCTGCTTTTTTTTTACTCTGTTATGAAAAGACAGGAGCCAGTACACATTCAGTATGCATTTGATTTGTTGGTTACTACATTAGGAAGCTGATTCTAAAATAGTATTTTAGGATTGTTTCATCATAGCAAAACATAGAACAGTGACAGGAAGAAAAGTATTACCTGCACATTTGGTTCGGGTAATCAACGGAGGGCCTGGCTGACCTGTGCCACCTTCTCCAGGCCTAGTTAGAAGAACACGAATCTCATACTCTGTGTCTGGGTCCAAATGCCATAGCTTATATGTTGGTGCATTGACAGCATGCGTTTCGGTCCAGGTCCCTGTTGTCATATGGTATTCCACCTCTTTTAGGATGATAGGTCCATCCCCAATAATGGAATTTGCATTCAGCTGAATGAGCAGATAAGTTGGTCCAACGCCAAGCAATTGTGGGGGAGCTATTGGTCTAGGAGGTTCTGTAAGATATAACAAAAGCCAAATTAAATGAGAAAGATAAGAAAACAGTAAGACAGTAAGCAAAAATAAAGNATATGGTATTCCACCTCTTTTAGGATGATAGGTCCATCCCCAATAATGGAATTTGCATTCAGCTGAATGAGCAGATAAGTTGGTCCAACGCCAAGCAATTGTGGGGGAGCTATTGGTCTAGGAGGTTCTGTAAGATATAACAAAAGCCAAATTAAATGAGAAAGATAAGAAAACAGTAAGACAGTAAGCAAAAATAAAGGCAGAGATCAGAATAGTAAAGATTGCATAATAAATGGATGAATATTTAAACATAGTTTAGAAAGATTATTATTTATTTATTTGATTTCTAAAGCCATCTTTCTCAACAAGTGACTCTTATTGTTTTTAGTCAATAAATATATGAAGTATTAATACCACTTTACAATGCCTTAGTAAGGCCACACTTGGAATACTGCATCCAGTTTTGGTCACCACGATGTAAAAAAAATGTTGAAACTCTATAAAGAGTACAGAGAAGAGCAACAAAGATGATTAGGGGACTGGAGGCTAAAACATATAAGGAACGGTTGCTGGAATTGGATATGTCTAGTTTAACGAAGAGAAGGACGAGGGGGGACATGATAGCAGTGTTCCAATATCTCAGGGGCTGCCACAAAGAAGAGGGAGTCAAGCTATTTTCTAAAGCGCCTGAAGGCAGGACAAGAAGCAACGGATGGAAACTAATCAAGGAGAGAAGCAACCTAGAACTAAGGAGAAAATTCCTGACAGTTAGAACAATTAACCAGTGGAACAACCTGCCTCCAGAAGTGGTGAATGCTCCAACACTGGAAGTTTTTAAGAGACTGGACAGCCGTTTGTCTGAAATGGTGTAGGGTTCCTGCCTGGGCAGGGGGTTGGACTCGATGACCTCCAAGATCCCTTCCAACTTTATTATTATTATTATTATTATTATTATTATTATTATTATTATTATTATTATTATTATTATTATTATTATTATTATTATTATTATTATTATTATTATATAGCCATATATCTGTATATGTGGGTGTGTAGATAAACTTAAAAGTCAAACAAAAATAAAATACAATCTCTGATTTCTTGCTAATGAGTAGCAATATATATTAAAAATATTAATGGAAAAATAAATGAAACACACACATTCCTAAGTAGAATGAACCCAATAAGAGGCCTCATTTTTCATTACAAACATTTTCCAATTCAATTATGCTTAAAGTCGAAGTAAATAGGGCTTTCTCGTTTGGATGGACTACAACAAAGCAACTCCCAAAGCTGAAGCATTAACCAAGCAAAATGCCTAACCTACAACAACTATTACAAACAATTTCTTGAGTTTGGTCTTTCTCTTGGAAAAAAGAGAGTGCTGCGGAACATTAGGTAGCTGCTTTATTTTATGTGAAAATATCATGGAACATTAAATAGTCTCTTTCTACAATATTAAAAAAGGAGTTCAAATGCTGCCTTGTGAAATCCACCATGTCAGAGTAAAGCATCTAATTAGAATCTTTCTTTTTCCTGTAGATTAAATTCCTCAAAAGTTTCACAGCTGTCTGGCCACCATTTACACTGTGTACTGTTTCAGATAATGACAATTACAAGGCATGCATATCTCTATTCTAGATTTTTAATACCTAGCATATTATCTCTAACATCCCTGATGATTTCAATGACAATTTTCTACTACTGTTGTGAACAAGACATTTTACTTGTTTATCATCGTAACTTTTACAATCATAGACATACCTGGAAACAAAGAGAGCTTTCTATTTTTTTCTTTTTTTATTGAATCAAAATAACATCAAGGTAAATATTAAAACTTAGAATAAAAAAGGAAATAAATGAATAAAGAGAGAGAGAAAAAGAGAGAGAAAACATACAAGCGGATAGAAGGAAAGTATGTGGAGGCTGTGGGATCTGTATGGGGAGAAAAGGACTCAGGCTCAATCCTATTAAGGCCAAATAGCTGTGGATTTGGGGTCCTGTTGGATCTGGAGATCTTCCATTGCTAGATATGGATGGGATTATATTCTCCAGGTAGAACTAGTATGTAGGCTGGGGATTCTTCTAGACCAGGGGTGTCAAACTTGCAACGTCACATGACATGTTGCGACGTATTGCGACTTTTTCCCCATTGCCGGCAATGGGGTGGGTGCGGTTTTGCTATGACGCATCCGGCCTGCGGGCTGGCAGTTTGACACCCCTGTTCTAGACTTTAGTTTCCTGCTGAAAGTGGCCACCATGATTAGAAGGATTTTTGCACAAATTCATCTTCTGTACCAATTGTGCTCATTCCTTGATCAGAAAGTCCTGCTCCCTACCTTATCAGACAGGATTGGCATGTTCCGGGCCCTATTAATTAAACAATTGTCCTCCCATAAGACCTGAAAAGTGTGCTTCTTTTGGCACTATACTTGATAACACTATCTTCAAACAACAACACAACACCTCTGTACATGGATGATATCAGATGGAACATATAGAAATCAAATTGACTACGTTATTGCTAAAAGAAAGGGAAATAACTTGATAATAGCATCAAAGACATGGGGTGCATACTGACTGTGGAACAGATCATGAAGTTCCAAGTTAAGCTAAAGAAGAAGAAAGCCAACCAATTTCCATGATATGACCTTGAATATAGTGTATATACCAATCATTTTCAAGGACAGCATCAGCAATCACTTTAAAATCCTGAACCTCAGTGGTAGAGAACCAAAGAAATTATGGAATGAACATAAATAAGTTATTAAGGATTGATTTGTTAAGAGACTGCCAAAGATGAAGAAACAGAAGAAAGCAAACTCCCTCCCTGTTTCTTCTTTCCCATCCCCACCTTCCCACCTCCCTATTTTTCCCTTCCTCCTTCCTTCCCTTCCCTTTCCAGCAGACAGATAAGTGGCTACTGCTAGATTGGAAAGGACACAAGGGATTGTGAGACTGGATGGAAACTGTCACAAAATTCTGAAAATGAAGATCGTGTAACCACAGCAGTAGCCCAGCAGCACAGCAACAGTCAATAGCATGGAAGCAAAAAGTTTCCCAACTTTCTCAAATTTCACTCCAGTGGTAGTCATGGGTCCTAGATTTTGGATACGTTCTGTATGCCCATTCAAGAAATCGTGGTTTAAAAACTGCTGCCCAATGCACTGTTTTGCTCAGGTAAGGGTTATGATGAAAGTTTTAGTACTACTGAGGAACAGTATTATACCTACGATGACAAGCAAATCAGCAATATTTTTTTTGCCAGGGTATATTAACCGCCATAATAACATCTAGTACTTTATGAAAAATAATAGACTGCTTATCTGATAAAAGATAAGAAGCAGAAAAATCACTTGAATGTCTAGAAAGAGATTACAAAAGAGTTAAATCTGCTAAACATACAGCTAAATTATACAGCTAAATATGAGTATGTCATCTGCAAACAGATTAATTACATGATGCTTTGTTTTTGCATTCGAATAAATATTTTTTGCTGTTCATAATATTCTGCATTAACCCTTCTGTAATGAGATCAAGCAAAACAGAAATAAGTTCCATATTTGTTAGGTGGATTTGTTAGAGAAAAATTTCTATCCATTAATGCTATTTACTGCTAAGGAATAAACGCAATTAATTATGCAAATGATCTTAATACTTAAATCCCCTTTCCAATAGCAATTTTTCAAGAAATGTAATTTCATTTTCATCAAATGCTTCAAAATATCTAAATATACTTCAGAACGGAGTATTAATATATTTGGCATAATTTATTACACTGAATTGAAAGTGGAGTCTTCTAATTCTTATTTGGGTTAGGGAGAATCAGAAGTCTTTGCCTCCAATGGGGGGGGAATGTGTCATTTCGTAAGAAATTCACTGCAAGTAGATGAAGACTTTCTTGCAATGAAATATATGGATGCTTACATTTTGCTTTAGGCTTGGTGTTCTGGTTTATTAGTATGATGAGAACAATTATTAAATGTATATGATTAAAAATCTAATATTTTGGTCAGACAAGTTAGTAAGGGGCATGGCCAATGGAGCCAGATGAGGAATGAACTTGGCATAAGCAATAAACATTACTGTGGGTTCCTTGGTGCTGATTATTTGATGGTGACCATTACTGATTGATAAGAGCCAGTATGTGTGTTGAGGTTAAGCTGTTGGAATGAAAAGACCCAAATTCTAGTCCTCCTTCAGCTCATTGAATGCCTCTGGGCTAATCTCTGATTTGCTTCTCAGAATAGTGATAGTGGCAGAAGGAGCACTACGTTCTTATATACATACACGCACATGCACATACACACACACACAAAGAAAGAAAGAAATGAAATAATGTCTATTTACCTGAAAGAATATTGAAGAAATTGGACTGCATGTGTACATTACAGTGCCTTGTCTTTTTTCAATCATTCTTATTTAATTTGATGAAAAAGAATTTGTTGTTTTTCAAATAAAAAAAGATTTCAGAAAGGGTCACATGGGTGGAAGCAGGGCTCTTATTGGAAAGTGATCAAGGACTTTGGGACTGGTGTGTTTGTATGTGAATGAGGGAGAGAGTGAGGCAGAGAAACAGTCTTCCCCTTGTATCAGCCTCGTTGACTTCCTAACCATCAACCATCGGGACGGACTGCCTTTGATGGGTTTTTTCACAGAACACAACACCATTTTTCACTGCCTATCAACTTCATCCATTCAAAAACAACAGCAAAAGAAGAAAAACAACATAGGGAGAATGTAAGGACTGATTACACACATGTGAGGAAGTATAGTAATAAGCTGGCTATTCATCAAATTTATCAATCAGAATTTCCTATTAAAACTGGAACATCAGACTGAAATTCCAGACCAGCAGAGAAAATGGGAGGAATAAAAACCCATTTCTTTCCCTCAGTTTATAAAGTTTTATTGAAGAGAAAGCCTAATATAGTTATGTGGTATAAT